TAGCTAATATTAATTATTATATTAATAACTGATATTAATTTAAATATACGCATGTATATGTCCATACAGTATATATTGACTCTCAAAGCAAAGACTGCATTCGTGTGCTGCTGCTGCCATCTACAGTCAGTAAGATCTCAGCAGCGATAAGATGTTGAAAGACACTGTAAAATCACACATGCATCACCCGGTTGTTCAGTATAACATGTTCCTGCTCCATGCTTTAGACTGACAGTGACAGAAGCGCTTTGTTTACCAGGATTGTCTCCAGTGAAGGCCACCACGTTACAGCTCTCTGCAAACCCATAGCGTTCAGTGTAATACAGAGACACACAGCCCTGAACACACACAAACAATGAAGCAGTTCAGCTTACAGAGGAGGCTTGAGACTGACCCGAGGTTCAAGATATTGTTACGAGTAAAAGAGTGTATTTCACCAGAACGGCTGTCGACGGCGTCAGGTCTCCGAGTCGCTCGGCTAACTGCGGCGCTGCGGCGTCCAGACAAACCTGAGACCACTGCTTCTCAAATATATCCATCAGATTCATCCCCGAGCCTTCATAGAAAGACAAACAAACGGCCAGTAAACATACATCAGACTGTGAGAGATTCAGTGCAGTCTAGTTATAAAGACTTCAGGGACAGAGAGATGCTTCTGAACGCTTCTTAATATTTCACACTTTAATATTCCAGCTCCAGCATTATAATCTATATGAATTTAAATATACATACATATTTTAATTGCTGAATTGGACATTGTATAGTAATAATTAATATATCTTATATCTAAATATAAAAATATTATTTATAAAATATATACTTTTACTTTCTACTGAAACATTTTTTTTAAACAGCTTTTAGGTGATCTAGAGAGCATTGTATTGATCTGAGCGTTGAGTTTTACCTCCGTCTCACTGAATTCCTTCGGTTTCGAGTGATAAATCTTGGCAATCTGATTTCCAGTGAAGCGCTGGTGAGCAAATACACAAAACATTAAGAGACTGTGAACTTAGATGAATGTAATTACAGTACAGGACGGGGTTAAACGCACCTCGTACGCTCGTGAGCCGGTGATGTCTGCGAGGCGTTGAGCTCCTCCTACTGCTGTCTCCAGACACTGACACTGATCTGAAGTACTCGAGTCCATCCACACCGGACTGTCCCGCACCGCAAAACACTCCTGCAAACACAATACACTGAGTATACAGATAGATATCAACATACAGAAGCAGTATGCATGCAATACAACTATACTATACTGTACTAAGGAGTGTATTTTATGCTCCCACTTCCACAGGTGTATGCATGATGTTATACATGTTTTCTGCTGCCCTGTTCAAGCAGATATCCATGAATCCGCTTCTGTCATACATCAGGTGAAGTATTAACCATTGACGCTGGACGTTAGACCCTCGGCATCAGGACAGAGAGAAGGATCTCGGTTCAGAGAAGCTGATGTTGTTGTCACCTGTAACTGATGGTGTAGATGTTTCCGTGGGTCCAGATGATTCAGGGTTCGTCTCGCACCCTTCCTCCAGAACACACTGCCATGTTGCTGAAACACACAGATGCATTAACGTACAGACCCAAACTGAATCTGCAAGAACAAACTCAATGCTACAGGGAAAACCCCATATGCCAAAAAAAAAAAATTTATATACATGATGTCCGCATCAAAAGAAATGTACAAAAGTGATTTTATGTCCATAGAAAGCACATTAAATGTAAGTAAAGTGTCTACTTTTAAGGTTTCAAATAAGTTTTTGGAGAATAAAATGTCAAAATTTGGTTGAAATAATGTTGCATTGTCATTCAGTGTAACACAATATTTATGTAAAAATTCAAACAACATGCTTATTCTGACGTGTACATATTAAAATATATAAAAGAATAAGGGAGCATATTAAATTTGATTGTGTTTTAAATGAGTAAAAAGTCTTACTGACAAATGGGCGAAACCTAGGATAGTGGCACATTTTAAAAATGTAAAATTTCAACTAATTAGTATTTGGGGTGAAAGTAATTAGTCTTTTAATATGTCATAAATTGATTTTTGTTGTAAATATTTATTAACTTATAACAAAATTAAATTAAACAACTGTCTCCCCATAAATGTAAATTTTATAAACATTTTGGCGAATTTGATTATACTCTCAGCTATCAAACAGACTAGTAATAACAGCTCTATTTTACACATTTTACCAGGTTTAAAAATAATCCACTAAAAAATTCCTCAGAAAATAAATGCTCAAAATTCAAATTTAAAAAATACTGTTCCAAAAAAAAAAAATTTTTGATTTTTTTTTAAATCAACACAAACCACAATTCATTTCAGACAGTCAAAGAGCATATGCTAATACATAAATAATAATAAATACATGCTAAAAGCACCTGTCCACTGCCTGAGATGGCTTTGACACGAGAGAAATCAAAACCAGTGTTTCTCATTTTCTCCAGAAGAACATCCAGCGCCTGCAGTCAGACACATTAATAAATCCAATTAACAGCACCAAGACTGCTTAATTAATAAAGATATGAACTCATATAATTTCCATTTTATAAACAGGAATCATTATACATTAGACACTATGCACTGCCACTTTTTATACTATATATACATATCTAGTCTTAACGGGTGTTTTTTTCTACAAGTATGGTGAATTATGAGAGAACTGATGAGATGAATGAGCTTTACCTTCACCCACATGAGCGCTGGAGACGTGACCGTCAGTTTATCTTCGTGGATATGAACTCCTCCATGAGTCCTGCCCAAAAACACAACCAGAATTCCCATTGACAAATGAAATGATAATTAGAGAATATTACAATTGTGAATTCCAGGTCTGGAAAACAATTTGAAACAAAGTCAAATCAACGAATATACGTTTTTTTAGTCATGCTCAGCCCTAAAAATGCTTTATTGGCTAGAAATTGCTCTTCATGAATTATTAAACATAACTCTTTATTCAAAAATCATTGGAATTACTTGACCAAAAGGTGTGGGAACCCTGTACAATGTAAATATAATATTATAATATGATATTGTACCTGAACTCGGGCAGCTCGCTGTCGAACTGGACGCTGTTTTGGTGAATCACCTCAAGATTTCCATCAACAGCGACAACTTTCAGCTTCAAAAATAAAAATCAGGACATTACAGTGTGTTTAAAACCATCTGTATCAGCTTCATTTACATTTATACAGGTATGTTTGCATTTGTCCACTCACATTTCATTCAGGCTCACATTAGAGCCCGACCGATATATCGTTTTGCCGATTTTATCGGCCGATATGAGCTTGTCACCGATATATCGGTATCGGCGAATATGCCGCCGATATGATTTTTTTTTTTTGAATTTATATTGTATTTATTTACAGAGGTATATTATGTCACACTTCACACTTCTCTAGTAAGTTTCGTCTGTGTGTGAAGACGGAATAAAGTTGAATGGAATTGAATTAAAGTTGAATAAACTTTAACTTTACTGTTCAGTGCACTGATGTCAGACTCATTTTGGATAATAAAGTTTGTTAAATTGTTAAATGCCCTGCCTCCATCATTACATATCTTTGTCACATCATTAAAAGTGTTTGATCACCACATTTGAGTGATCATTGCAAAAAAGTGTTTATGTATATATATATTCTGTTTATGTATATACTGTATTCTATATATAGTACCAGCAAAATGTTTGGACATGCAAATGGGAAAGTGGTACTGTACTATAATATACACAAAGAATATCGGCCGATATATCGACATCGGCCTTTTTTACTCCCTAATATTGGTATCGGTCCAAAAAAATCCGTATCGGTCGGGCTCTAGTTCATATTTCATCATTCCCTGAGAACTGACCCCAAGTTTTATGTTATTAATTAAATAAAAAGTGTGTGTCCAAGAGCCCACAAAAATGAATGACTTTTGTTTTTAAATTCATATTTTTGAGCACTAGGTAATGCATCTCAATGGTGAATGTGTTGATACAAAGACGTAACCACATATTGAAGATTAGAGAAGACCAAAGCTCATTGAAAAGCCAGCTAATCTTATTATTGATGCTTCACACAGAGACAGAGAGAACTAAAATAAAACATGATCAGCTTTTAATGTGACTTGTGTGACAATATTAGATCTAACAGAAAACACTGGACATTTTTTGGAAGCATGTCAGAAATCTCAAAACTATATTCCTATAACGTTTTTTGAAGTATTGTGTAAATATCATGGTAAACAAATCAATCAGAAGAATCATGGCATATATCAGATATTACCATCTCACGCCAACGCTAAAATATTTAACTAAAATTAAAATGCAAATAAAAATGAATTCAAAATATTAATAAAAACTATAATAGCATCTCTTTCATACTAAAATAACCATGCTACAAATAAAAATAATGAGCATTTCTACTATTATTACCCTAGGAAAAAAATTTAGCAAAATTCATAAAATATAACAAAGGTAACATCAAAGTCAACTTGTGACAACTTGCCCCGCCTTGATATTTATGTAAAATATTCTAGTCTTGAGTTCAACTTCAGTCCAGTCTTCATTATATACAGTAGCTGACTCTTGTCCTAATTGTCAGTGTGGTTTATAGTTATTTATTGGACATTATTTATCATAACTGAGATACTCAATCTGTGACAACTAGCCCCAGTCTCCCCTATATGCCTTAAATAAGTCTTTTTTTAAGCAGGGAACTTTTACAAATGCATTGTCATGATTTACATTTGTATTTAATCATGTGATGTTGTGTTTAATGAGCTTGTGTTCATCCACTGCAGCACAACACAATGAAGAGTTAAGTGGCATAAATCTCCCTCCATCAATGTAGGCTACCACTATAGTACTGTTTCTAAGCGTACTCTATCATACATTTTTTCCAGAACAATATCTCTCACTGATATGAGCATTTATTTACCTGTTGCGTGCTGAAATCGAACCCCAGAAAACAAGAATCTGCTCCTGCAGCCATTTAGATCACAAACATCCCGCCATCGAGCGACACACTGTAGCAAAGGCTCGCCTTATGAATATTCATGAGCACGCTAACGTTAACTTCCTGGAGTGACGGTCATGTGACCTAATTAACAATCATAAGCCCAACCTTCACCAGAGCGGGATTCGTTCTTTCACCTTGCTTAGTCACGCCCACTCACCACAGTCAGCCAATCACGTCAGCGCGAGTCATTAATATTCACCATCCACCGAGCACGTGATATAAACAGAGACCTTCGTTCAGTACACTTGTGCACCGCCTAAAAAAACATGTTTGCTTAACTTAGTGAACTTTAATCTGTGACCCCGTGATGCCAGCGGTTTAATAATTGCCGTGCTTTTCAGAAATATGTATTTATAATAGTTTTTCAGCACATTTTAGGAACAGGAAGCTGAAGGATGTCTGAAACAATTCATGGAAGTTGCATAGAAGTTAAACATGCATGTGTAAAATAAAGCGGCCAAGCAATTTGAGCTCATTTTATTTCAATAAAATGGCATTAAATAGTATTTTATGAAAGTGAACTGGATCTGATATTGTGCTCAAACAACCCAAGATTTTATTTATGCAATAATATTCATGTCTAACTGAGATGGCTGCTATTAACACATTACAAAATTGCATTGTATACTGTATTATTTTAATGTTGGGAGCAATTCGCTGCGATAACACACTTCAGCTACAACACAGTAAAGTAACTAACATGCAAAATGATTTTCTGAATGTTCACCTCACCCACTGCATCAACAATACTGAGCAAACATTCTGAGGAATTACATGATTAATGAGTTTAACTGCATTCTTTTATTTTTATAATGTCTTTCTTTTCTCTCTCTTTTTTACACACACACACACACACACACACTCACTCACACTCACACACACACACACACACACACTCACAGACACACACACACACTCACACACACACACACTCACAGACACACACACACACTCACACACACACACACTCACAGACACACACACACACTCACACACACACACACTCACAGACACACACACACACTCACACACACACACACTCACAGACACACACACACACTCACACACACACACACTCACAGACACACACACACACTCACACACACACACACTCACAGACACACACACACACTCACACACACACACACTCACAGACACACACACACACTCACACACACACACACTCACAGACACACACACACACTCACACACACACACACTCACAGACACACACACACACTCACACACACACACACTCACAGACACACACACACACTCACACACACACACACTCACAGACACACACACACACTCACACACACACACACTCACAGACACACACACACACTCACACACACACACACTCACAGACACACACACACACTCACACACACACACACTCACAGACACACACACACACTCACACACACACACACTCACAGACACACACACACACTCACACACACACACACTCACAGACACACACACACACTCACACACACACACACTCACAGACACACACACACACTCACACACACACACACTCACAGACACACACACACACTCACACACACACACACTCACAGACACACACACACACTCACACACACACACACTCACAGACACACACACACACTCACACACACACACACTCACAGACACACACACACACTCACACACACACACACTCACAGACACACACACACACTCACACACACACACACTCACAGACACACACACACACTCACACACACACACACTCACAGACACACACACACACTCACACACACACACACTCACAGACACACACACACACTCACACACACACACACTCACAGACACACACACACACTCACACACACACACACTCACAGACACACACACACACTCACACACACACACACTCACAGACACACACACACACTCACACACACACACACTCACAGACACACACACACACTCACACACACACACACTCACAGACACACACACACACTCACACACACACACACTCACAGACACACACACACACTCACACACACACACACTCACAGACACACACACACACTCACACACACACACACTCACAGACACACACACACACTCACACACACACACACTCACAGACACACACACACACTCACACACACACACACTCACAGACACACACACACACTCACACACACACACACTCACAGACACTCACAGACATCCTTACCCAACAAGCAAACTATGAGTTAGAGTTATACTTTTTTTTATATATAGTTACTTTAGCTAGACTTTGCACAACATATTAGCACTGAAATATGAATATTGCATGACTGTTCCTTCTTGCCTTTGTCTTTGCAAACAGCAGAACAACCTTGAATTGCACTCTTTTGTTTGCATTTTGATGCAACTCTTGTTGGCAAAGCCCACAAAGCACACATGCACATGAGACGAGAGCCTTCAGATGGACAGATCAAGCTGCATTTATGATTCTACTGCAATAAAAGCAGATTTCTCTGGATGTTCTCAGGATGTGGCTGTGCTGTTGCTCGTGTGCAGACGTGTGTGGAGAGATCAGGACAGAAGAGGAGGACCAGAGCGGAGTCAGGATGGACATCGAGCTCTTACAAGAGCAATACAGCTCCATCAGAGAGAAACAGAGACGCCAAACTCAGCTCATCTGCTGAAAGAAAGGTAAGAAATGATGTTTGGGTTTGTAAGTGAACTTCAGATTCTAGAATGCATTAAACAAACCAGGAAACATTCTCTGTTCTCAAAAGTTACTAACATTCCTTCACTAGAGAGTGTTTGCTCAAAGTTATGTGGTATTTAATAACGTTCAAAAATAGTATTTATGCATCACTCATGGAATGTTTTTCTGAGGGCAAAATCTTATAGGCATACGTCACATTCAAAAGCAACGCTCCCTTGTAATGTTTGCAAAATGACAAATTATTCCTGTAATGTTTTCTCTAAAGTTCACATAACAAGAGAAACATGTTTTTCAAATGTTTTTGAACATTCAGAGAACAGAAATAAAAATTGTATATCATTAGCAGGACATATAAACAATAGAAGGTCATGAATGATTGCATAAATTAATCATCCTGTTGTGAGTTAATATTTATTGCATTTAAATCAGTTGCACTTATTGTTAAACACAGCAAAATGTATTTTAAAGTATTGTCACACATTTTACTCATGGACTGAATATTTTTATTTTTAAGAGTTTTTCTTTTTTTTTTAAAGTCAATAAATAGAAAATATAGAAATAAAAACTAATTCAAAATATTAATAAAAACTATAATAGTATCTCTTTTATTCTAAAATAACCATGCTACAAATCAAAATAGTGAGCATTTACACTATTATTACCCTGGGGGAAACAAATGTAACAAAATTCATAAAATATAGCAAAGGTAACATCAAAAGCAACATGTGACAACTTGCCCCGCCTTGATATTTATGTAAAATATTCTATTCCTGAGTTCAACTTCAGTCCAGCCTTCATTATATACAGTAGCTGACTCTTGTCCTAATTGTCAGTGTGGTTTATAGTTATTTATTGGACATTATTTATCATAACTGAGATACTCACTCTGTGACAACTAGCCCCAGTCTCCCTAATATTTTTATTTTTAAGAGTTTTTCTTTTTTTTTTAAAGTCAATTTATGTAGCAAATGTTAAAATCTTACAACTCAGGGTTATTATAGTTATTAAACCTAAATCTAAAACCATAAATCATTTTTGTTACTTTGAATTAAAACAAATTTTGACTAATGTTGTGTTTAATGAGCTTGTGTTCATCCACTGCAGCACAACACAATGAAGAGATAAGTGGCATAAATCTAGTGGACGTGGTCACTTTAGCAAAAGCACCAGAAACGCAGTCTGAGTGTGTGGTGGCTTCCTCACATCTGGAGCTGCACCGCATTAAACACATGACTGATGAAACTGAGCACAGAAATAACAGTGCTGCGTCTACAGAAACCTCCAGCAGCAGCAGCTCAGAGTCAGAGTGGCTCTCTGAGGACTCGAACCCTGGGGAACAGCATCTGAAGATCAAGAACCACAGCGGGCTGAGCTCTAGGAAGCTCTCAGCTCCAGCGGGTTTGTCCCGTCAGCTGAGTTATCGCTCCAGATATTACCCCTTCCCTCGGAGGAAAAGCCTGAGGAACTCAGAGACGGCCAGGAGACTGGGCCTCTACGCCTCGCTCTCATGAGGAACCAGAACAAACCTTCCTCCAGGAACATTAATAGAACGTTCATTCAATCTGCTGTTTAATAATGTTCTCCAAACAGTAGCACAAAAATATGATTCATGGAATGCATTCGTTGGATGCTCATCTAACATTTTTTAAATGTTACTAATTGTTTCAGAACGTTCGGAGAACATCAAAAGTAACATTTTCAAAACATTCGAAAAAACGTTCTTGGAACATATTTTTGACAAAAATCATGTGATAGCCAAGTAACAAATTTAGGTTGTAAAAATGTTTTGGAACAATGTTTCTAAAAAGTTTTCTTGTCGTGATTAGAACGTTATTGAAAGGTTACAAAAACATTTTTACAATGTTCTATAAGGTTATAAGAATGTTCCATAAACATTACTTTAATCGTGTTTTGTTCTAACATTTTTATAACTTAAAAAAAAAAATCTGAACATTAGCAAAATGTTCTTAGAACATATTTTTGACAAAAATCATGCAATATCCAAGTAACAAAGGTAGGTTATAACATTGTTTTGAAATGTTTCTCAAACATTGAGATTTCTCCAGTTTTCTTGTCGTGGTTATGAAATTATTTAAAGCTAACAGAAACGTTTCTCACAACATTCCACTAACTTTATTTTTACCCAAAATATATAGTTTATTTTTAAGAACGCTAAATGTTAAAATGTTTCCTTGTCATGATTAGAATGTTGTTTAAATGTTACAAAAAACATTTCTTACACTGAAAAAAAAAATGATACTATTTTTTTTAAAGGTAAATGGTTGCAAACGATTTATTTTAGCTACATTTAATTAAAAAAAAGAATGTGTTGAAAGATAGTCAACTAAATGAGTGTATTTAAATGTAGCTAAAATACATTGATTGCAACCACTTACCTTCAAAAATGTAGTAAATTCAATGAATCATTTTTCATCAAGTGCAAATAACACGTTCCGAAAATATCATTCTAAGAACATTTTCTCTCAACATTATGAGTATAAGCGCTTGTGATTATTGATGATTCATGGAATGCATTCGTTGGATGCTCATCTAACATTTTTTAAATGTTACTAATTGTTTCAGAACGTTCGGAGAACATCAAAAGTAACATTTTCAAAACATTCGAAAAAACGTTCTTGGAACATATTTTTGACAAAAATCATGTGATAGCCAAGTAACAAATTTAGGTTGTAAAAATGTTTTGGAACAATGTTTCTAAAAAGTTTTCTTGTCGTGATTAGAACGTTATTGAAAGGTTACAAAAACATTTTTACAATGTTCTATAAGGTTATAAGAATGTTCCATAAACATTACTTTAATCGTGTTTTGTTCTAACATTTTTATAACTTAAAAAAAAAAATCTGAACATTAGCAAAATGTTCTTAGAACATATTTTTGACAAAAATCATGCAATATCCAAGTAACAAAGGTAGGTTATAACATTGTTTTGAAATGTTTCTCAAACATTGAGATTTCTCCAGTTTTCTTGTCGTGGTTATGAAATTATTTAAAGCTAACAGAAACGTTTCTCACAACATTCCACTAACTTTATTTTTACCCAAAATATATAGTTTATTTTTAAGAACGCTAAATGTTAAAATGTTTCCTTGTCATGATTAGAATGTTGTTTAAATGTTACAAAAAACATTTCTTACACTGAAAAAAAAAATGATACTATTTTTTTTAAAGGTAAATGGTTGCAAACGATTTATTTTAGCTACATTTAATTAAAAAAAAGAATGTGTTGAAAGATAGTCAACTAAATGAGTGTATTTAAATGTAGCTAAAATACATTGATTGCAACCACTTACCTTCAAAAATGTAGTAAATTCAATGAATCATTTTTCAAGTGCAAATAACACGTTCCGAAAATATCATTCTAAGAACATTTTCTCTCAACATTATGAGTATAAGCGCTTGTGTTTGATTATTGATGCTGTTGGTTGATATTCATGCAGACTGTAAACAAAAGCTCATGTATTTACTTGAAATCATATGTATATTGTTACAGTAACAAACTTGACATTACAGGAGACAATTAATGAATCAAGAGACATCGTTTGCATTTGCATCATATAACTAATTGTTCGTTTGCATGGTTTGCACAGTCACTAATTGTCAGATCAATATTTGATGTACACTTTACGAAAAGATTTGTAAATAAAAAGTTGATTATTGGAGTATGTTTTATAAGAAAATACTGTTTCAGTCTTTCAACTTCAACATTTCCTGTTTAATTCAATGTGTTACTTGCCACTTCTTTGCCATTTGTGATATTTACTAGCAATGTCTGAGTGAAATGTATATATACATAAATGCCAGAGTATACATAACAACCGTTCATAAAAAAAAAAATATATATATATATATAAAATGAATGAATTGTGGTGTGGACCAGATACAAATTAAATTTAATTTAATTTAATTTAATTTAATTTAATTTAATTAAAAAATAATCAAATTAATTAAATAAATGAAATAAAATAAAATGACATTTTCATTGGAATAATACATGCATCAAAATTATTAATCTTGAACAAAATATAATTTTCCTTCTAGTAAACCTAATAAATTGTCAGTATACAAACACACACACACACACACACAACAATAGATCAATAGACAATAGATTTTCAGTAAAAATAGTTGTTGTTTTTGGAGCAAAAATCATAGGAATAATAAATACCACAAAAATATAATCCATCTAACACATTTTTACTTAGATATATACCTAATTAGTCAAGTTAGTTATGTGAAATCTGGGGAACAAGCACTTTTGTATTTGCAGTTTTAAATAAATCAAAATTAATTAATTATCAAAAATGTACATTTTAATATTTTTATACACATTCTATTTGATAAATATATAATATAGAGATAAAATATATAATACAGCAAACATTTCATCCCCAGTCCAGTAGGAGGTGCTAAAAGCACAAAAACATTAAAAAAATAAAATAAAATCACATGACGTGTGCAACCGGAAGTGACCGAGAATCAGGAAGAAAACAATAACAACATCACGTGTTCGCAGCGCAGAGTCGGTAAGACGTTCTTAACTTTTAACAATATATTTAAACACAGCGCAGGAGTCTCACATTAACAACACATACACATGTAGAAATCTATAATAAAGCGTGTAAATGTGTCGAGCTGTTCCTCGAAGCGCTTGATGATAGTGAATGCCGGATTTCCAGGGGATTTCCACTCAACAGCGGATGGGTTTCGCTTTCGGTTCCGGACGCTTTGTGCTTCAGAAGATCTCTGGAGGTCTGTAGAGATGGAGGAGAAGCACAAGCAGTCGGTGCTGATCTCTCTGCTGAGGCAGGATCAAGTCCAGCTGTGGACGGAGCCCTTCATCTCTGACCAGCAGAGCATCCGGGTGAGTGAGTGTAGCACCTACAGCTCTGCACTGACGAAAATTAACCATGGTTTTACTACAAATACAACCAAAAAACATGGTTACTATAGTTAAACCATGGTAGCCACAAATTAACCATGGTTTTGCAACACTAACCATAGTTTAACATAGTTTTATTTGTAGTAAAACTATACTATTTTTTGGACAATATACCAAAAAAACATGGTTACTACAATTTTACTATAATAAAACCATGGTTAATTTTCGTAAGGTCACTTTAGGGTAACACTTTATTTTACGGTGTCATTGTTACACATGTTACATGTACTTACTATTATAATAATAATAATAAATTATGCATAATTACATGCTAAGCCTAATCCTAACCCTAAATTTATAGTAAGTACATGTTTAAACATAACCATAAGAAATAGTTTAGATATGATACTGTTTTCGAAATCAGATATCTGCATAGTCTAACAATGCCTTGGAAAAACCAGTTAATCTTAAAAAATAAAGCATATACATAAACCCAAATAGGAAATAAAACAGTTATTGCATAAGCATGTGTCCTGAAACATTAGTGTCTCATATTTTACAGCAGTCACTGCAATTTATGGAAGAAATCAATTAAATCTGTATGTGGGTGTGTGTGAACAAAAAATGTAATCGTTAATATTTTCATAAGTAGCTGTAATTTAATTACACAGTTTTTTCTAAGTAACTGATTACAATTACATTTATTTTGGGTAACACTTTATTTTGCGGTGTCATTGTTACACGTTTACATGTACTTGCTATTATAATAACAATAAATTATGCATAATTATTACATGCAAGTCGCCCTATAGGCCAAACCCTAACCATATAGTAAGTACATGCAAGTACAATTAATATTACTTAAATGTAATCGTACACTGTAACAAGGACACCTTAAAATAAAGTGTAACCTTATTTTGTAACTGAATTATGTAATTTAGTTACTTCCCAACACTGGGCTTTAACGTGTTTATTTTACTTCATGTGTTCAGGAGCTGGCTCAGAAATACGTGTCAGCCACTGAGTTTACATTAGAGGAGGTGATATCGACTCTGGAGAGCATCAGAGCAGATACAAGCAAGAAAGATGAAGGGAATAAACAGTTTAAAGAGACAGCAGTGGCCTCGCTGGAGCTCCACCTGCCCAGAACAGCAGAGGTACTGATGCATTCACATGCATTTACTTTAAACGGACAGTAACGAAGCACTTTTTTACTTGAGTACTGTACTTAAAGGTCCCCTGAAATGCTTAGAAACACACAGCATATAGTGCACTACGTGCCATTCACTGCACAGAAAATACTAACTCTGTGGACAAGCGACCGATTTCAGCTTCAGCGTCTATTTATAGTGTAGGGGGCGGGGCTTTGGATTCTAGAGAGCATTTGATTGGACAGAAAGTTTGATGAGAAGCTGAAGTACGATGTGACGTCAAAAAAATCGTTGAGCCGTTTTGGCGGAAGTGACGAACTGCAAGCTTTGAATGCTTATATCTTCTAAATGCGAATTTTGTCACTGTTTTGGAGCGCACTGCCTTATAGATAACCTTAAGACTAACATATTGATACTAACACCCAAAAAACTTTAATTTTGATTTCATGGGGACACTTTAAGTACACTTTTTTAAGTATCTGCACTTTACTTGAGTATTATTTTTTTCTGGAAACTTATGATTTTAACTTCACTACATTTAAAAGACAAACATCGTACTTTTCACTCCATTACATTTCTGTGAAGGTCCTCGAAGTAGAAAGTCGTTACTATGTAGCAGTTTTGAAAGTCTGTGATTTTTCGTTTAAAAAAAACGTCATCACGTGAGGTGATTTCCCAGCATTTTTTGAACACTAACTAGTTGCAGATGTGATATTTATTTACAGCAGTTCAATAATAAGAAGTTAATATTGTGGTATGTATTAGACGCAATATTGTCTGATTTTGCTAAATTGTGTAAACGTTTCTATAGTTTTCGTTTCTATAGGTTTTTAACATTCTAAAAGCTACAAGCTAGTGAGTGTATTCCGTAGGCGTAATGTATTGTAAGTTGCTTCAGAGGTATTGCAAGTATTACATGCAACAATAATAAAACAGTGTGTTGACATAAAAAAAAAGAAATTTACTTTTGGTACTTAAGTACTTTTAAAAACAAGTACTTCTGTACTTTTACTTAAGTAAAAATCTGTCTTTACAACTTTCGCTTGTAATGGAGTAATATTTGACCAGCATTATCTCTACATCTGTATTTTGTCCACCTCTGCATGGACTGTTTACTAATTCATCTCTTGATTTGTTGTTGTTTTATTATTTTTTTTAAGATTAAGAAAAGGAAAGTTATTTTAAAAACCAAACTGGACATCACCACGCAAGAGATGAAGAAACTGTAAGTTTAAAGCTGGACTGAAGCCCATTTCTTTGGAGGCCTGTTTCTGCAACGGAATAGAAAAAAAAAATAATAATAATTGCAACATTAGATATTTCCAGATGTAGACTCTTCGTGTGATCACTGCGGGCTTGCGCCAGCATCATATGTTTTGGAGCTGTTCGAAACTACCGCCTGCTGTGAAAAGTGTGTTCTGTTATTATCAAGAATATTGATTTATTTATGATTTATTGATGGCTTTATTTTGTTTTTTTTGGGAATTGTAGATTCTAAGATAGCTAAAAACACTGCTGAGCTCAGTATAGTTTCATTGTTAGTCTACTAGCACAAAGATTTTTATTATTAAACTGGAGACAGAAAGCTGCACCTACACACCTGAATCTGGTGAGGGATGTTATGAAGCGTTTGGAGCACGAAAGAAGAGACATTTTATAAAATCAGGCAACCTTTGATAGATTGCTTTAATGATATTAATTCTAGCGTTCCATAAGTAAAAGTAAATTATTGAGCCAAGAAGAGGAATAAATTAATAAGTTGAGGTATCTGTTTACCCTTAACCCCCTATTTTGAATGGTTACACATAGATGTGTCCAGAGCTGTGTGAGATCACTATCATCCTGCTTTTGTGGGGGTGGGTAGGGGTGTTACATTTTTGTTTTTGTTTTGTTTTTTCCCCATAGGTTTTTAACATTCTAAAAGCTCTTTATATCAAATATACTACAAGCTAGTCAGTGTATTCAGTATTGTAAGTTATTTCAGAGGTATTGCAAGTATTACATGCAACAATAATAAAACAGTGTGTTGACATAAAAAAAAAGAAATTTACTTTTGGTACTTAAGTACTTTTAAAAACAAGTACTTCTGTACTTTTACTTAAGTAAAAATCTGTCTTTACAACTTTCGCTTGTAATGGAGTAATATTTGACCAGCAGTATCTCTACATCTGTATTTTGTCCACCTCTGCATGGACTGTTTACTAATTCATCTCTTGATTTGTTGTTGTTTTTTTATTTTTTTTAAGATTAAGAAAAGGAAAGTTATTTTAAAAACCAAACTGGACATCACCACGCAAGAGCTGAAGAAACTGTAAGTTTAAAGCTGGACTGAAGCCCATTTCTTTGGAGGCCTGTTTCTGCAACGGAATAGAAAAAAAAAATAATAATAATTGCAACATTAGATATTTCCAGATGTAGACTCTTCGTGTGATCACTGCGGGCTTGCGCCAGCATCATATGTTTTGGAGCTGTTCGAAACTACCGCCTGCTGTGAAAAGTGTGTTCTGTTATTATCAAGAATATTGATTTATTTATGATTTATTGATGGCTTTATTTTGTTTTTTTTGGGAATTGTAGATTCTAAGATAGCTAAAAACACTGCTGAGCTCAGTATAGTTTCATTGTTAGTCTACTAGCACAAAGATTTTTATTATTAAACTGGAGACAGAAAGCTGCACCTACACACCTGAATCTGGTGAGGGATGTTATGAAGCGTTTGGAGCACGAAAGAAGAGACATTTTATAAAATCAGGCAACCTTTGATAGATTGCTTTAATGATATTAATTCTAGCGTTCCATAAGTAAAAGTAAATTATTGAGCCAAGAAGAGGAATAAATTAATAAGTTGAGGTATCTGTTTACCCTTAACCCCCTATTTATTAACATTAACTAATTAAATTTACATTTATTTTTGTATGTATGAATGTATTTTTTTTATTTTTTTATTATTATTATTTTACCCATCAGATACACTGGATATATACTGTACCAAACCCTTGATCTCAGATATTACCAACCAGTGATGGTGGTCAATGTTCAAAATGATTCAGCCTGCTATGTAATATACTTTCGGATGGACTTTGGAATGCACAGGTCACATAAGTTAAATCAGTTATGCAGAATGAACTCTTGAAGAAGAGACACTTCAAACACTTTGATCTCTATTCCTTTTGCTGCTGGTAGACATTGTTAAAGTTATCCAGTGAGTGAATGTGTGTAAGTGTTTATGTGTTGGTTTATATGTGCTGTATGGTTTTGTAGTGTTTAATAAAAATCCAATAAATAAAGTAAAAAATAAATAAGTAATTGCGAGTTAATATCTCACAATTCTGACTTTTTTCTTGCAGTTCTAAAAAAAATTGCAATTCTCAGAAGAAAAGTCTGAATTCTGAGATATAAACTGCAAATTGTGTGATTAAAAAGTCACAATTACCTTTTAAAATGTTGATTCTCTGGTGGGAAAAAAACAAGATGCAAACTCGGAATTGAGAGAAAAATTGTGCTATAAAATTGTAAGATAAAAAGTTGCAATTACCCTTTTTTGTTTTTTTATTATTAAATTGTAAAATTGCAGGATATAAGCTCAGAATTGTGAGATAAACTCAAAGTCAGAATTCTGTGTTTATCTACTGACTTTTTCCCTCCAGAATTGCAAGAAACAAGTTCAAATTGTGAGATAAAAACTTTGCAATTACCTTTTTTTTTTTTTTTATTCCATGGCAGAAATGGGCTTCTATACATTTCTGTTGCGATTCATTCATTTAAATATTATTTTTTTCCAGTCTTTGTGTTTAATTTTAAACGTATTCTGCTTTAAAGGATCGGTGACGAGTATGGATTCAAACACTTTAATCTGATTTTGATGGGACAAACACTGTCTCCAGGTAAATACTTGATGTTTATATTAGAGCCTTTATTCATAGCTGTATTAATCACTGCATGTTGTAACACAATCCGTGTTCGTTTAAGGAAAGAGGCTTGATGAACAGAATGTGAAGAACAACAGTAAGATCATGGTGCTGGTCGTGTCCTCGGAGCAGGAGAAGACTGAAATGCTGAAGAAAGAGGAGAAGAAGCGCCAGCAGGATGAAGGATTGCAGAGAACGCAGAAGGGTTTCCAGATCCTGTCGGAGAGAGGTGAACCTTCAATATACAGTCACAAGACATTCTCCAGAGCCTCGGTTTTTCACAAATCTGTTATGCAAAATCAATAAGCCACTTTTTTTTTTTTTTTTTTTTCAATCCTGTTTGATTCGTCATTTAACTGCAAAATGATCACAAAAAAAGCAAAGCACCATTTAAAGTTATTGACCCGTTAATATGATAAAGAAACATGCATAAATGAAAAAAAGTGCTTGATTTTAAAAATAATTATTAAGTGCAATAAGCCGCGAAAAAGGACCCAATGCAGCGCTCACGCATTAATTGTACACACACACAGAAAGCAGCTTATGATGTGCTTAAATTGTCAAATACAACCAAAATTATGTCAAAATGGCCAGTATTCCCATAAAAGTATCAATTTGGATTCATGCATTAGGTCTTAAAGTGACAGCAGTCTAATATACCTGCTGTTGTCTTTGTCATTAATGGTAATCAAACAACAAAACGAAGACGAGAACGAGAAAATCAGTCTCTGCTCTTGACTGATCGCTTTTGCAAACGTTAATAGAGATTGGTATGTTTAATTTATACAGTAAAGACTGCAGGGTTTTATTTTATGTTTGATTATTCAATGTCTGTGGTGTTTTGTGAACCTGAGTACTAAACCTACCTGCACTCTTTATTTCATTTGTATCTTTGTCCTTGTCATTTTCTTCAGTTCCTATTTTTTTAACAACAACATAAAAAAAAGTTTCAAAAAATATTTTTAAAAGTTGTGTTTCAGATTTTGATAAGACACAAAATATTTTTGTAGGACTGATCCTACAAACCTGTTTGAAGTCTGTTATTATCATTTCTGTATCCATCAGACGGGAGTGAAGATCCAGTCTCCACCCCGTATTTAGAGATCGCCGATCAGAAAGGAAATCCGCTGCAGATCCCTGACAGCGAGAGGAAGGTGAATCCCATCGTCTTCATCTTACTGTGAAGATTTTTCCTGTAAATGTGTCTTCCAGGCTTCTGAATCTCACACAGATGAGATGAATTCCTTAGTGTGCATACAGTATCTCCTTATGAACTGGTGTGATTTTTTTTCTCTTAAAGCATTGCTTTAGCAGAAGATTATTAGTTTGTGTTGCTTGCATTAATGTATTGATCAGGCTCTGATCCTGGCGATGGGTTTCCATGAGAAAGGTCGAGCTCTGATGAAGAAGAGGAACCACAGCGCTGCTCTGACTCACCTGCTGCAGGCCGACGAACAGTTCAAGTACGACTTTATCAAACATTAAAACATTACCGACAGCATGAGACAACATGCAGAATAAAAGAATCAAACCTTAGAATCAGTCATGACTGCTCACTATTCAAGCTTCAGGTTTCATTCCATCGTCAATAGAACAAAACACTGTCTTTTCTGGCTGTATATTTGCAAAAAAGCCAAGAGCAATCATTATACAATCAGTATGTAAATAAATGCATGAAAAAACGCCAATTACAGTTCAGTATGCATTATGCAAATAATACAGTGACACCATCGCTGCCTTCTGAAGAGCTGCTTTATAGCTGACTCGAATCTGTTTCGAAATTGATGAGCTTTGAAATATCAACACTGTTATGGAACTGAATTGAATCAACACTGAACCATACTGAGCTGAATAATGACTCTATTGTCTTTTTGAGCTGCTTTATAGCTGAAATGGTCTTCTTATAGAATGTGACTCTTGTAGAATATGACTCATTTAAATCTTGTAGAATGCAACGCCTTCGATTCTTCTGGAATACAGCTCATTTGATTCTTAGAGCATCAATAATTTTACTCTTATAATATATGACTCATTTCATTGATTTCTTATAGAATACAATGCATTTGATTCTTTTGCAAGTCGTTTGATTCTTAGAATATGACTCATTTAAATCTTATAGGATACATCGCCAGAATATGATGCCTTTGATTCTTATAGAATACAACTAGTTTGATTCTTAGAATATGACTCATTTGATTCTTATAGAATACGACTCATTTAAATCTTATAGAATGCGACACCTTTGATTCTTGTAGAATATGGATTGTTTGATTCTTAGAATATGACTCATTTGATTATTATAGAATATGACTCATTTAAGTCTTATAGAATACAACACCTGTGAATCTTGTAGAATACGGCTTGTTCGATTCTTAGAATATGACTCATTTGATTCTTATAGAATATGACTCATTTGAATCTTATAGAATACGACTCATTTAAATCTTATAGAATGCGACACCTTTGATTCTTGTAGAATATGGATTGTTTGATTCTTAGAATATGACTCATTTGATTATTATAGAATATGACTCATTTGATTCTTATAGAATACGAACGACGCCTTTGATTCTTGTAGAATACAACTCTTTTGATTCTTAGATTATGACTCATTTGATTCTATAGAATACAATGACTTTGATTCTTATAGAATGTAACACCTTTGATTTTTGTAGAATGTGTCGTGTTTGATTCTTTTAGAATACAGCTTGTTTGATTCTTAGAATATGACTCATTTGATTCTTATAGAATATGACTCATTTGAATCTTATAGAATACGACTCATTTAAATCTTATAGAATGCGACACCTTTGATTCTTGTAGAATATGGATTGTTTGATTCTTAGAATATGACTCATTTGATTCTTATAGAATATGACTCATTTAAGTCTTATAGAATACAACACCTGTGAATCTTGTAGAATACGGCTTGTTCGATTCTTAGAATATGACTCATTTGATT